ACATGCTGGTCTACTCCATAAGCTTTCTTTTTATGGTTTATCAGGTAACATCTTTAAGATTATTGAATCCTTTTTTTCCAATCATTGTATAAAAGTTGTCCTCGATGGACAGCATTCTTCTTCATATCCTAAAACTTCAGGGGTTTACCAAGGTTCTATCTTTGGCCCTATACTTTTTTAAATTTACATTAACAGAATTCCAGAATTTCTCACATCCAAGCTTTGGCAGGAGTGGTGTGCAATCCCATGCTTTAAGTTTAACTTTAAGTGGTGTGCAATCCCATGCTAAAAGTTTAAAAATCGTCTAAACATCTAAACAGTCAAGTTGTCAAAAAATAAAATCATTTACGTAGTCAGCAATAGCGCTTGATTGCACGTCATTCCTGTCCAACCCTGACATCTAAAAAAGCATTGATCGCTGATAATACTACTATTTATTTTTGTCTTGAGAAGAAGCCAACACTGTCTGGTTGGTTAGAGGGGGTAATTGAGCTTGAAAAGGATTTCACTTCTAATACAGCATGCGGTAAAATTTAATTTTTTTCAGATAATTGTTGTCGCAATTATCTAGATACTCCTATATTTATAAATGGTGTGTACTCGATGAGTCATCTCATCCCTTTATCTTCTTGGATTAACTCTCACTACCAATCTTTCTTGGAAACCATATATCAAATCAATTGATATTAGGTTTCCAAGAATTATATCAAAATTAACATCTGCTAAGGTTGCATCTCTTTATCATGCTCGCCACTATCTTACTCATGATTCTATTCTTTATCTTTATAAATCTCAAATCCAAATGAATACTGTTGTCATATCTTCCAATGATGCCCTTTCTTTTTTATACAAGGTGTAAAAATGCATTGTAAACATAGTTGGACCTGCTCTTACAGCCCGCCTCTAACCTCTATCTTATCTTTGTAATGTTGCTTTTTTTTTCTCTTTTCTATAAACACTATAATAGGCACTGCTCTAAAGAGGTAGCGTCTCTTGTACCATCTACTAAAATTCATTCTTGTGTTGCTTATCATTTAATTAAGTCTCATCCTTTTACTGTAACTGTTCCTAAGTGTTCCAAAAATTTTTATTTGTCTAGTTTTTTTCCTCGAACATCAGTTCTTTAGAATTCGTTTCCTTCATCTTGTTTTCCTGATTCATATAACTTGCAAACTTTTATATGGTCTGTCAATCGTTATCTTGCTCTTTAAATTTTCCATTTTTTCTTCCAGTAATTTTTAATTCTAATTGTGGTTGCTTGCAGTATTGTTGAAAGTGAGTTTCGTTTCTAAATTAATTGCAAAGTATTTTCTAGCCGAGTAAAGTAGAAGCAAATGTTTATGCTAGATAAATCTTATTTTTTTGTTAAACCCATTTATTTACTTTAATTCAAATTTATCTAATCAAAATTTAAATTATTAAGAATGAATGATTTATTAAAAAATATAGAACTTTAGACCCTCTAATAGTTGTTGAGATTTGTAAGCTGTTGTAATTACATCTGGAAAAAAAACAACATAATAATGCATTTTTTTAACCACATATGGGATTATTTTTCAGATATAATTACTTCTGGAAAAAAAAATTAACTAATAATGCATTATTTTAACTAGATGTAGTTACATATATGATTTTTGCAGATTTAATTACATCTGGAAAAATTATTGAACTAATAATACATTATTTTAACCAGATGTAGTTACATATAGGAATTTTTTCAGATGTAACTATATCTGGAGAATATTCTTCCAGATGTTATTGGACTTAGATAAAAGTTTCATCTTTCTAAAGATGTTATACAGGGTCGTTGAATTTTCAGATGATATTGCACAGATGTTGTTGGAGTAAAAAAAAATACAGTCAATCTTGGACAAAAGTGTATAGATGATAATAGCCTGCAGATGTTGTTGGACAGACGTAGTAATCTTTTATCTGCTGTTGTACTCTTTATAGGAAAATGTCTTAGTATCTTCAATTGCATATTATTTATTGGGCTGTCCCTAGCAAAAGGCCTATATAAATGTTTTTTCTTAAGTTTTGGAATAAAAAAATAATGCTAGGTTTAATACCATTGAATATTTTTAAACATTTTTTTAAAATTTTTGCAGTTTTTAAATCTTATAGAATCTTAAATCTTATTGATTATTTTACTAGGGTTAGTCTATGGTTGTTTGATTTTTTTAGAATTTTTTCTTATTTTGTTTTGTGGTTATTTTTGTTATTTAGAAGACTTCAAAACACAAGGATACTACTTAGTTAGTATTGTATGGCTTCTATCTTCTCAATTGATACATAAATGATTTTTTAAGGCAGTTCTACAATATTTGTGTTATTTATTACATGCCAATAATCCAAAAATAATTTTGCATAATGATTTATGGATCGTTGACATGTTAATGTTATAGTTCCAATCTTCAATTTTGGAGAAAGATTCGTCGTAAATGAAAAAGTTATAATGTGCTTGGCTATTGAGTTGAACAATTTTCAATGCTAATAATTAAATGGTAAAAAACTTATTTATATTAAACAAAATTGTTTGCCGTTGTTGAGAAATATGTTGTAAATTGTTTTTTTGATGAACTAACTAAAGTAGTTTTATATATGCATTTGTATTACTTAGGTTGAATATTTGATTATTTTTATTACAGATTGATTGGTAATAACCTTCATTATTTTATTTATTTGATGTTCTGTATACTGTTATGCAGTTTTTAAACCACGTAAGTAATAAATACTTTTTAATACTGCCCTCTATAGGTAAATATTATTAGAGTTTATTTCTTTGAAAATTTTATATAAATAATTTGTTTATTCTATGTATATGATCGTCATTATCTTAATTACTATCAAAAGAGATTGGTTGCAGGAAAAGTCTAACAGTATAGTAGATTGAGTTAACATGCATATCATCCCAGCTTGCACAATACGTTGGGTCAAACATTGGAACCGTTGTTTTGCAAGTATACTACGTTAACCCAACGTGGTGTGCTAGCTGGGATCCCTACAACACGTTTCAAAAAATTTATTTTGCGAGAAACCTAATAATATTGTTTTTAAATATCTTGTCAAATTTTAAAAAAATTGGGTTTAATGAATTTAAACGGCTCGAACAAAAAAAAAGAGAAAACAAAATGTAAGGTTTTGAACCAAAATTCTTTTTGAACAGCTTCTGAATTTCAACTTTTGTACACGTGTGAAAGAATCGCCTAAATAACTTAGATGAGGTCTATAGGACATCCTTCAACTTTCCGATTTTTTGTTTTCAGTATGTATTTAAACCGAAATTTTGCTTTTTTACCGAATTCAGAAAAGGTAACGAAACTTCGGTTTCGGTTCAAATTGAAATTTCGGCCGAAACAGATTTTTGGTCGATCACTACTCAATAAGATTCATTTTCAATTACTCAGACAAAAGGCTGCCTATTTTTAAAATTTGGCCTGGGTTTTACAAAAAAAAAACGAAACCTGCATTTGCTCACTGGAAAAAAGCTCACTGTCGACCGTCCTGGTCTAAGTAAAGTTTAAAATGAGTAAAAATCTTTATAAAAAAGTATTAATTGCATCTTTTAAACATAAGGTTTTTAAATATGCATAAGAAAAAGTCCACTTTTAAAGCTATATTATTCACATTTGTAAAACGAGAGTAGTGTGACAACTTGTATAAGTGTAATATACAGCTTTACAACTTTATTATAATTGCGGATGTTAGTTTTTATTATAAATAAAAGCCATGAGAACTTTTTCTCTGTGCCTGTGATAAGATAGTTAAGGTAATAATGGGTATCCATTTATTCTTGTCACCAAAAGAACTATCTTTGCTTTTTTGTTAAATTAGATATGGTAATAAAAAATGACTTTCCTTTTTAAAAAAATTTAAAAACATAGTTTTGAGCATAAAAATTAAAAGCTGATAAATGCTTAGTTGTTAGACATAATGTATATTAAGCTTTGTAAATAGTTCTTGGGTATACGCAAATCCTTTGGATTAGGTTAGAACTCTAACTACTGCTCCACGGCTGCTTTAAAATTAATAAATTACAAAAATCAATTCTTAAACAGGTTCAAATAACGTACTAAAATCAGGTTTTGGCGTGTGTTTAGGTAGCCTTAGTAAGTTAAGACGCCTTTTATTTGACGTTATCAAAACATCTTTAACGTCGTAATAAAGCCATTTTATAACGTTCGGGACTTATGCTAAATAGCAATTGGAAACGATGTCTTTTTAGGATGTCATTAAGAAGATATCTTTGAGACGTCCATAAGTCGTGTTTTCAGACAAATTAAAAAAGTAAAGGATCGTCCATAAATTACGCAACGCGAAATTTCACTAAAAAACAAAACAAAAAATGTAAAAAATTTTTCCTCGCAGAGCCTTAAGTTAAATAAAAAATCAAAACAAAGCATAAGTATAATGAAAATCGCCGCGTAAAAGAGCTTAAGATCTCCTACTTCTGCTTTTTAAATAAGTTTAGCGTTGCATTATTTATGGACGATCCCTAATTGAAAACATGTGTGTAAAAAAAAAAAAAAAAAAAAAGAAAAGAAATTCCACTTTCTATCAATTTTCAGGTTTTAATGGATTCTTAGAATATAAAAGAAGTTCTATCAGTTAGTATAAAAATGACATAGATTAAAACACTTTTTGAGTCATTAAACACATAATTTGGTAAAAGAATACGTATTTCCTACATATAAAATTAATCAGTACTTTCTTTCTTCTGAACAATTTGCGAAAATGGAGTTACATCGTTTTTACACCGAAGTCTTTAGTTGTTTGATAACTTCATTTTATTTCCTTATGTTTAAATTTTTACCCCACAGTATTTCTTAAAAATACCAGCAACAAAAACAACAAAAAAATAATCAAACCAAATAAACGTTTTAAAATACATATTTTCGATAATTTTGAAAGAGTTTTTGTAAATTAAAACTCTTGTTCCTCCTCTTGCATATTTTAAAGAAACGATTCTTCAAACAAATGACATGCTTTGCCCTTTTTTCATCCAGGTGCATGCTTTAGTGTATTTGCAATCACAATTTGACAGTCTTTTTTGCTGTAGTAATCGACTAAACAGTCTTAAACGTAAAATATTTTTAAAATAGTATAAAGTATTCAAAACTTTATTTAAAAAAAAAAAAAATAACAATAACAATCATAATAATAAAAGTCATAACAATAACTATAACCTTATAGGTGGCTCATAGGTTAAGAAACACTAATAATCAAAACTTTGCTTTCTATTTTTTTAATCTAATTTGAAATTTATTTTAGATTCAGAAAATATATACATTTATGTATATTTGAAGTTAATATTTTATGTCAAATTCATTTTTAAAATGTACAGGCCTTTAAGCGTCTATAAGCAACACCTTTTTTTTGAACTAAAACTTTAGCCAACACACCCGAGTTCAAAAATATGTGTTTCTGGTATAAAATGATATTAATGAAGTTTCAATGGATTTAGCTGTTAAAATAATTTTAACGATTTACAATGAAAAAAAATCTTAAAAAAAAAAAGGGGAAATTGATAACCCCTAAAGCACACTTATTAAGCAATTAAAACTTTTTAATTTTGTAACTAGGATCGAGTATTACAAGATGTTTGTTGAATGTTCTTCTACTTTGCTACATAACTTTGGGTGGTTCTTTCAGGACGATTAACTAAATGTAATTATGTAAAAATGTAAAACTTCAGGATGATTAACAAAATGGATGCAACTAAATGTATAATATGCAAAGGAGGTATAGTAAAAAGGTCGAAAAAAGGCAAAATTATGTATTACTTGAATGGCTCCTAACACAAGATAAATCTAACACGTTTTAACTCGATACTAATTATTAAATCAAATCATTAAATAAATTAATAAATAAATAAAGTTATATTAATTTTAACTTACTAAAGGTTCTTATACTTTTGACAACTTAATACCTTTGAAAACTTGACTACGTATATTCATTCTCTTTAACTTTAACTTATCTAACTCAAATTTAAAATAATAAAAGTTAAATTAAAAAAATACATAATATAACTACTTTTTGCCCGGTACTACTTATATCTGCAATCAGACAAAAGCTATAAATTCAAGCCCTGCAAGGAAAATATGGGTTGTTCTCAGGAAAACGGTGTATTTGATCTTATTTGTCAAGACAAAAAATGTGACAGAGAGGATGGAAATAACTGTGAAGTAAAAGAAGTTCAAAGAGTTTGAAAGAGAGCAGGATTTGGAGATGCAATTTAGACTGGTTCAGTTATGAGGTTAATTTATGTTTTACATTTTTTTTTTTAATGTTTTGTTTCTATGTAATATTCATCATTTAAACATTCGCATAGTTCCTAAAGAGTAGAATACCAGCCTCTGCTCCAAGATGCGATTTTGGAGGCGTTAAAAAACTCTTATGAGCTGAAGAAATCTTTTTGCTCTTAGAAGTATAAAGATCTTGGAAATGCTCTAATAAAATGCTTAAAACGTCACACATAGTATTTAGATGAAAAACTAGTTGTTTTTGCATTAGCAGACAAAGATTTGCCTGATATCACAAAGATAGAAATGATAACAAATTTGCTCATCAATATTAAGCCAGAGACATTTAGACGTGGTTCGGTAACAAAGGTTCCTTATTTGGACTGTAATTCGACTCTTCCTAAACTTGTGGGTCCAGGTCATAAAAGGATCCAAAGCTGGATCCTTTTATGACATTGTTGGTGTTTCTAAGGAAGATGTTTCTTGAGAGATTCTGCTAGCTGGGATGATTTGGTAAGCCACAGAAAGTTTGTTCAGTTTGTAAAAAACATTCGAGTAACAAATGACTGCGCTGAGAGAATTATTTGACTTATTCAAGATATTGTCTATGCAAGTAAATCAGAAAATCAATATTAAAAAGTTATGCTTGTAGCAAAAGAGGAGAGAAAAAGGATGCCTGCTAATGTTACAAAAAAAAGGTAGTTGTCATGCAAATAATCGGAAAATAAAATAGAAATTTAAAAAAATTCAAAAAAAGATGTACAAAATTAGAATTGGACCTGAAAATAATGATTTGTAATTGTTATTATTTAAATAAATTCTTTTTTTATCAAATAAAAAACTCTTTTTTAGATTATTAAGTTTTTAATTTTTCTTTTTTGCTATCAAATTTGAGTTTATTTAAAAAAGCTACGTTTTTTAAAAAAAAGATGATGCTTTACGTAAAAAGCCAAAAAAATTAAGAAAATCGAGTTCAATGTATGTTCAATACATATATATATATATATATATATATATATATATATATATATATATATATATATATATATATATATATATATATATATATATATATATATATATATATATATATATATATATATATATATATATATATATATATATATATATATATATATATATATATATATATATATATATATATATATATATATATATATATATATATATATATATGTATATATGTATGTATATATATAAATATCGATGGCATAGTTCACAGATGTGGTAAGTGCAAGACTAAAAACTGTAAAAACTGTCATTTGCGCGCGTAATTATAAGATGAAGAGTTTTTGTATATATCACATATTGTCAATTATTAGACTTTTTATCGTTTATCGTACACACACCATATTTATTCACGATAAACTATAAATAAAAAGACGTTTTTCTGCGTACTTATCTCAATTTGACCAAAATTTGTACTTACCATATCTGTGCACTATGCCATCGTGCACAGATATGGTAAGTACAAATTTTGTGCACAGATATGGTAAGTACAAATATATATATATATATATATATATGCATCGTGCATATATATATATATATATATATATATATATATATATATATACATATATATATATATATATATATATATATATATATATATATATATATACATATATATATATATATATATATATATATATATATATATATATATATATATATATATATATATATATATATATATATATATATATATATATATATATATATATATATATATATATATATATATATATATATATATATATATATATATATATGTTTGGATGTTTAGAGCTTAATAAATTCGGCTGCGTATAAACTTTTTTTAAATATTTTTTTATAATATATAATTATTTTGATATTTCGCTGATCTTTTGTGATCAGCGTCATCAGGTATAATAATTAAAATAGTTACAAAAAGTCACTATTGTAAAAACAAACGGTTTGGTTTTACTATAACGATTTTCTGTATGTTTCAGCATTCAAAATTTTACATTTAAAATTTGGTAAAAGGGTAATGACGTATTTTTTACTTTTATGGGACACAAGGGTTCACAATTTATATGACAGCGTTCATTTACTAATAAATATTAAGAGTAATTTATTAAATGCAAAATGCCCTCAATACTTTTCAAAAGAAGATTTTGAAGTTGGAAATTTAGTTTAAAAAAATTATCGCGGATAATTTAAAAATAAGTTCAATTTTGCACGTTCGCTTTTTATTTATCAATAAAAAAGCCTTGTTTTCTTATTCTCAAACTTATCAATTTATTTTTTCGATTTTATATTTGAAAGACATTACATATTTTTAAACAAAAGTATGATTATAAATTATAAAAAATTAATTTGATCGTTGTTAGTTGTAGACTGCCATATTACTTTGTGATATTTGAAGAATGATTTAATCTGCAATCAAATTATTAATATTTTATTATCAAGTGGGAGATTTAAAACAATGCGTATCTTTAAGTAAAGATATTTAAACAAAGATATAGAAATAAAGATATAATAATTTGTTTGATTACCGCAGGTTGTAAATTTCCATTTATTCCAGTTTTTGGATTTTATTTGAAATATTTTTAAATTTATAAATAATTTTTTTCAAAAAGTAAATATTTGTTTTGCAAAATATCATCGTGATCATCAAATTTATCTGCATGAGTTTATCTGCATGATCATCATGCAAATAAATTCTAATAGCAAACACCAACACAGAAGTCAATACTTTCGGGTTTTTGCTTTGTAGTTTTGGCTTAAAAATTGTATGATTAGAAACAAAGAAATGCAGACTTTAAACACTGCAATATGCTTATAATATGCTTCTAAATCAATAGCGATCAAGAAATGAAAAATTAAATATTTCATTAAAAAAATTTAATAAAAAATTTGAATTTTAAAAATGTGGCCTAAAAACATTAAAATAATTGAAAAGCCAATATCGTATAAATACCAATCGAATTCCATAGAAAATCTTTTTTTTTTGTTTCTTTATTCATTAAACGCACCAGACGCAACAAAAATTAGGTATAAATTAAGATTGTGTGTGACTTTGTGTGTGTATGTGTGTATATATATATAAATACATAAATACATAGTTAGATATATAAATGTGGTTTTTTTATTTAATTAGGTACTCCAAAAAGATAACGGTTGTTTAACAGAGCACTGGGGAATAGCATTTAACTAGAAAGTTCATGCCCCAATTTTGCATACAACTTTACATACTAACCAACTCCATCACTGTTGCTATAATATATATATATAATATGTGTAAGTGTGTGTATATATGATTATATATATATATATATATATATATATATATATATATATATATATATATATATATATATATATATATATATATATATATTTATATATATATATATATATATATATATATATATATATATATACATATATATATATATACATATATATATATATATATATATATATATATATATATATATATATATATATATATATATATATATATATATATATATATATATATATATAAATATATATATATATATATATATATATATATATATATATATATATATATATATATATATATATATATATATATATATATATATATATATATATATATATATATATATATATATATATATATATATATATATATATATATATATATATATAATGAAAAGATAGCTTTTCATATATTTAAGGAAAAGATTTTTTCATAGTATTTTTAAACGCATATTGTTTTTTTATAAATAATATTAACACAAGTTTTTACGCATATGTTTACTTTTTGAGTTTTAAAAAAAATTACCTCGTTTTTGCTTATTCATTATGAAAGTTGTCTTTCGGATGTAACTTTTTTAGAAATACTTTTTTGCGACGCGTGTTTGTTTTGTGTTTTATTATTTAGAGTAATTAGTAGTTTTTAAAACGTTATAAAATTGGAGGTAGAAATCGCATAATAAGTCATTTTGCCCCGGTCACGTTGCAAGATGACAAGTATATAATTATTTTATTTTAATTATTATTTCAATATTTTCTACTTGCAAACTAGAAATGCATGCTGGCAATGAATCATTATGATAACATAACCATCGAAACGTTGCCGCGCTTTTCATATATATATATATATATATATATATATATATATATATATATATATATATATATATATATATATATATATATGAAGACCTCAGTGGAAAAACCAGCGTTGTCACATTTTAAAAGTTTTGAGAAAATATTTATTGATCATTAATAAAAGTCTTTACATAAAGCAACAAAAAAAAGGAAATTCTAATGAAAATTATATAAATTTTTTTTATAATTAAACTTTAAATAAATTAAACAAAATATTGTTTATTTTTCATTTTCTTTGCCTAATATAAAAACCTTTATTAATGATTAATAAATCCTTTCTCAAAACTTTTTAAATGTAACAACGCCGGTTTTTCCACTGAGGTCTTCATATATATATATATATATACTCATATAGTGTCGCTTTAAGAGCATTTTAATGTAAAAAAAGTCTCTTACGACTACAATTTTAATTACCTCGTCTCTTAAGCTGTTTTTGATTGTCATCGAAATGTCAAAGCAATTAATTTATGCGGAAGTACATTAAATTTAATTGTTTTTTAAAAAAATTTTAAAAAACCGCAATTATAACGACTAGAAAGTTTTTTTTAATTAGTGGTGTTTTTGATATTGATTTAATAAAAAACATTTTTTAAACATGCGTAAATGTTGCTACATCGACTATCTTATAGCCTGACTCGCAACGGAGTGCTGCTACATCGACTGACAAATAGCCTGACTCGCAACGAAGCGCTGCTACATCGACTGACAAATAGCCTGACTCGCAACGGAGTGCTGCTACATCGACTGACAAATAGCCTGACTCGCAAGGGAATGCTGCTACATCGACTGACAAATAGCCTGACTCGCAATGGAGTGCTGCTACAACGACTGACAAATAGCCTGACTCGCAAGAGAGTGCTGCTACATCGACTGAGGGTTTGGTTTGGCCAGGCAGTCTATCAATTAAAAAAAAAAATTTAATTTTCAAAACTTTTTCTAGTCTGGTTTATTAACGCGCTCTTTAAAACTACAGTTTATGGGAAATATTTTTTGATGCTACGCAAGAGACATGCAAGACTATATATATATATATATATATATATATATATATATATATATATATATATATATATATATATATATATATATATATATATATATATATATATATATATATATATATATATATATATATATATATATATACATAATATATATATATATAATATATATATATATATATATATATATATATATATATATATATATATATATATATATATATATATATATATATATATATATACATATATATATATATGTATATATATATATATATATATATATATATATATATATATATATATATATATATATATATATATATATATATTATATATATATATATATATATATATATATACATATATATATATATGTATATATATATATATATATATATATATATATATATATATATATATATATATATACTATATATTATATATATATATATATATATATATATATATATATATATATATATATATATATATACTTGGCAGCAGTGGTGTAGGCAGTTAGAGTTCCGGCTCCTGAAATAAAGATCTGTGGTTCTCAGGCGATTCTAGGCGTATATGCAACATTGGTGAAGAAGGAAGTTTAAGTTTCTCAGTTATATGCTATTCCATTTTGCTCTGCTATAAGGTCTATAGGTCTTTTCGAAACAACTTGAAAAATTAAAAAAAAATTTTCACTAAACTGCTTTGCTAGCAAGTGCAGGCGTCGAATTTTTTTAGTGTAGCAGGGCAAATGTCAAATCAAGTGACAGATGAACATTTTTTTCAGCAGCTGCTGTTGCGAACAAATGGAAAACTGTTTTAAACATGCCAGTCTGTTGAGATAATTTCACTTAGCTTCATGGATTAAATATATATTAAGCTTTATTCGAGATGATTTAAAAATCGATTTATTGTATGTTAATGTTTGAGGTATTTAATTTTACAGCGCACTAAACAAATCAAAAAAAATAATACTTTTTTATTTTTAAAAAAAAAGTACTTGTAACTTAAAGTTACAACTGCTTCTATATGTTTTCAAATTTCTGTGAACATAAAAATCAAAAACATTTTATGAAACCTATTGTATTAAACTCCAATGTCCTGGTAAGCATTTTTTTTTGTAAATTTTAATTATTTTGTTGTATTACAGATAACAAAATATAAATACACTTTTCTACAAAAATATGGATGTTTTAGAAACAGCGTACTTTGTATGTGTCCTTGCAATCGTTATTTTATCGGTATTGCTTAATGCAACCATAATTTTCACAATCATTTACAAGATCAAAGTTACCAAATTGCCACATGTTTTCATTTTGAGCATTTCAATATTTGACATAATTCATACCTTAATTGGATTTGGAGCAGAACTATACGTTTTATATGGAATTTATTCTTTAAAAAAGAGTTTTGTTTGCATTGGAGCGTCTTTCGTAACGTTTTTTATAACAGCATCTAATATTTTAAAAACTGTTATAATATCAATCATGAGAGCAATATCAATAAAGTGGCCCTTTTTTTACATTAAGTATTGTAAAACAGTAAAAGTTAGAACATTATTATTGTTTTTTTGTTATTTATATGGCTTTTTATGGCCTTCTTTTCCGTTAATTGGATGGTCAAAATATGAAATAGATTTGGATAAAAAGCGATGCTCTTTAGATTGGAATTTGACGCATTCTGGTTCTTTATCATATTTAATAACAGTATTTTTATTTTGCTACTTTTTACCTATCATTGGATTGATTTTTGTTTACAATGCAGTAAAAGAAAAAGTTGTCAGTAAATGCACTGTTAAAAGAGCGCAAGTAGGCACAAATAGAGATATACTAGAAATGGTTTACCTAAAGTTATCATTATGGTCTGTCATTTTTTACTTTGTAATTTGGACCCCGTATGCCAGTGCTAGCTTACTTTCAATCTTCAAAATAAAATCCCCAAGTGTTATATATACCCTGTGCGCATTGTTCTCTAAACTATCAGCAATATCAAATGCGTTAACTAACTGTTATTTTAACAAGTATTTTCGAAATCATATCAAAAAAATCAAACTTTTTCAATGCTTCATAAACAGGAACAAAGAAAGTAACGACAATGTAACGTTATAGTTTTTCTAAATATAAATTGTTCATTTATTTGACATTGAATACATTGAATTTGTTTAACATTTTGTATATATTTTTAAATCATAAGAGAGCAAACAATCAGCGATTTATTTTACTTTTAAATGTTTTAGATTTAACATTTAAGTTTATTTTATATTTTTCGTCAGGGTTAGGCTTGACTGTATTAGTGTATGCTTAGTCATAATGGACTTAAAAAGTGTAAATAACTAAAAAAAAAAAAAATTATTTCATTATTTACAGATGCAATTCTAAAATATTGCAAATTTTTATTGAGGTACTGTAATTTGTGTATGAGTCAAAAGTCAATAGCAGTAAAAAAAAGTGTTCTTAAAATAAAGAATTAATAAAATATGATTGGTGTATTCTTGTCAAAAAATAGTAATTTATGATTATTTTAAAGATGACTTTCTTTAAAAATACTGTCTTGGCTTTTAGTAAACGATTGCAATAAATTCCATAAATGAAACTATTATAATAATCATTTTTAACGATAGACACCACGTGAAGGTAAACCAGAGCCGCCTATCAAAAATTTTTGTGAAGTCACAACACTTGCACTATGTTTTGTTAAGTCATAACACTTGCAGTAATTTTTTTGAACAGAATAAGATAACACATTATATGTAACTTATAATAAACTGTTTAATTATTTTAAAAATATTATTCCTTTGTATGTTAAGTCATTTTTTTTTATTATCATTTTTTTCTACTCTGCAATTATATAAAACACAATTGCAAGTGTTTGGATCATACCATTTGTGGTCTAGTTTTTTCCCAACAAATCTCTCTAACATAAAATCTTCTAAAACATATAGTTGGTAGTTGGATAAGTGTTTATATAAACTTATAATTTCATTAAAACTCAGTTTTGATAGTTCACGCTGTAACTTCCTTTTATCTTTTTCATCGCGCTTGTCTATGGCAAATCTCAGCTCGAATTTTAGTATGATACAGTCGATCTCTAAATCTATTTTTATGTACTATGTCATTTTAAGAAGTTCTTCATCAATAGAGCATAAACTTGTAACTGATTCTAAAATGTTTGGCTTAATCGATTTTCTAAAAAAATCAGTCAACCCTGCTGGATTGGATTTGCAATCTTGAACTATTTTTATAACATTTTTCACAACTGGATACCAGCAACATGATCAAAAGTTGCATACTCTGATGTTACATAAAACATTTTCATTCAGGGTCCAGTAAAAAGTTTTCCAAATACTGCTAGCACACACATTTGTTTTATTGCGATTACACTAAAAAATGGTTCTCAAAAAGTTGCTTGCAAAATTTTACACTTTACTGTTTCAGTTGTAAGATACTGTTTAAACTCAGTGTAATGGTTTATCAGAATAAAAAAAAAGTACAAAAAAGAACACGAATGCGGTTTCCACGATACCTTAGAATGATACCTTGTTGCAATTTGTTTCTGTCTAAAAAACTTACAAAACCTTGTGAATCATCTTTTACTTCTTTATATCTCATTTTGTTTATAGCTAGAATAATCAAAGTTGCCATGCAGTCATTTCTATATAATTTACAACTCTCATTCTCTAGAGACTTTAAAGCTAAATGACATGTGTGCCAATTGTATCAAGAGGGTACAAATGACACTTTATTTCATTGAGATTTTTTCCTCAGGTTTCACAAACTTTGCTTACAGTAAGATGATTAACAGCAGCTCTGTCAGACACTATGTTTGATATGTTTTCAATAATCGAGTTACCAGATTCATTATAATTACACATGTAAAAGTCTAAATAAATAAAAGCCATATGATCAAAGGCATTACATGTATGGTTTTCATAATCATCAGTTTACTTACTAATTATTTGTTTTGGATTGCCTATGAAGAAAATCAACAAAAAATAAGTATATAAGAATACAACTATCAAAAAGTTATGTGATTGGATAACATTGTACACATTAAACATAGTATAATTAACTACATGATATAATTAACAACAAACAAGATGCAAATCAAAAAAAAAAACACGTAGTTATACATTTTTGTTATAAATAAATATTACAAAATCAAAATAAAAAATTTGTACAAGTGTTGTAGAAACTTATACATATTTTCCATTTGATTATACTATAACAACCATTTTGTTAAAATGGTATGTAAAGATGATCTTCAAGTTTACTACAAGTAAACTTGAAGACAAGTAAACTTTAACTTAGCTAAAGATAATCATGAAGTTGTTGCATTTACTAAAAGCAACTAGTTGTTGCTTTTAGTAAATGCAACAACTAGTATTACTATTTGTTGTATTAGTATTACTACTAGTAATAAAAAAAAGAAATATATAATTTATACTTAAAAAATGTTATATGTTGATTAAGAAAATGAGCTATCCAACATCAAGTTTAGAAACTATCAGTAATACTGTCAGTAAAAATTAGCTTATTTAATTTATTAATGAATTTGGTATATTATCATATATAAACATTAATAAACAATTTATTAAGTTTAAAATTTCATTTTTTTATTAAATTTAGTAATTTAGTTCAGAAAAATCAATACTTGTTTGTTTTAAAGAATGTTTATTCGCAACCTCTATGCACTTATTTTACTCCCGGTAATAAAAGGGTAGGTACAATCGGCAGAGCAGAGCAGATTGGCGGAGCAGATCATTTACGGCAACTTTCTACGTGCATATATTATTTTATTAAAAAATGGTGGTTCCAGCACTTATAAATTCTTTCAATCATTTAAAGATAAAAGCTGTTACTGAACTTATCACTAATAGTGATATTACTGCCAGGCCAACTGTGCTCAACAATCCAAAAGCAGGAGAAGTGTATGTCGTTCAAGTGAGCAATGGGAAAGGTAATTAACAATATAGATTTTATTTACATTCTATAAATTTTAATTAGTCTAATATTATTAGACTAATTAAATAAATAAATATTATTTTTAATAAGAATGAGCCTTTATACGCCTTATTGTGCCTTTCTAATTAGTAAAGCCTTTTAAACCATTCAAAAAATTATTAGTTAATAATATTGTTAAGAAGATTAATTTAAATAGTTATTTATGATTATTTTAAAGATGACTTTCTTTAAAAATACTGTCTTGGCTTTTAGTTAAAGTTACTTTCTTTAAGTAAATAAGTTACTTAAATAAGTAATTTATTTTTAGTAAATATAATGATGATAACTTATTGTTATATTTGTAACTTGTTTTATTTCCTAAAATTTACGGCGCTACTGCAGTGTCTCCCCCCCCCCCCCCCCTATTTTTTATTGTTGATTATGATAGAAAATTTTATGCTGATTAAGAATCGTATAAAAACATAGGTCTGAAAATCAACAGAAAGTGCTCTAATTTGATGTTGAAGTTTAAAAAATTACACTAAAAAACTCACGAGCGGCTATTTCCTGAGATCAAATCCCTGTTTTGATTGGACGAAAAATTTAACTTGCATTAGGTCCGATAAAATGTTTATCGTTAGCCGGATTTTAGGAGTTGTATATGAATTATTAGTAAAGCGCATATGATATATTGGAGATAAATATTTTAGATTGAGGACTGTTTGTAACTAGTTTTTTGTCCAATCAAAACAGGGATCTTATCTCAGATCTCATTTAACCGATGATATATTAGGAATAACAATTAGATAAATAATAAAATTTGTTGAAGGATAAAAATTTTTCTTAATATATCATTGCATATAACTAATTAATTATACGAGCTTGTTGCGCATTCTTAATCTTATATAATGTATGATTGAACTAAATAACTTGATTAAATTTATTTTTAAGGTTAATACAAATATAATACTATAGTTTTTATTATTAATTTAATAAAATTAATGGACCAATGATACAACATCAGTTTTTGCTACATCTGCTAACATTTGTCCAACAACATCTGTTTTATAATGATGTATAACTACATCTGTCCAACAACATCTATTAATACACTGAGGTATAATAACATCTGTCTAACAACATCTGGAATTTCATTGATGTCAAATAACATCTGTATAAAAAGTATGATTACTTCAGATGTAGTTACATCTTTTCAATAATATTGAAAAAACTACATCTGTGAATTCTATAGATTTAGTTACATCTTTTCAGTTCTGTCATTGAAAAGATGTAACTAAAAAAATATAGATGATCTTGGATAAAAGTGTACAGATGATCTTGGACTAATCTACTGGTGTAGTTGGACAGATGTATTAATCTTTTGCCAAATTAGTTCAGTATTAAATTTATTTGTTTATTTTAACACTTGGAAGAAATGAAAATTTTAGTATTTACATATAATGTAAATAAATATTTAAAATCAAATTAAATATTTGGTGTTTACATATAACAATAAAGTTTATTTGAATTTAACAAGAACTACAGCTTTAGTCAACAAATATAGCATACTGGTATAGATTGTGTATATTAATAAACAGAACTATTTACCCACAGTAGCTTATACATAGCCTATGTCATAGGTAGATTAAAAGTTTATTAAAATTCTATAGCCAAAATAAAAATTATCTCTTTTTTTTTTCTCTCTGTGTCTATATATATATATATATATATATATATATATATATATATATACATATATATATATATATATATATATATATATATATATATATATATATATATATATATATATATATATATATATATATATATAGTATATATATATATATATATATATATATATATATATATATATATATATATATATATATATATATATATATATATATAATAATAATAATAAGGTATAACTGTAACAACTGTTTTAAACAGTTGCGAAGTGCAATAACATAAGATATTGCACTGTAACAGCTCATTTTGTCTTTTGTTTGTGTTTTAACAAATAGTTTCTGCAAAATCCAGCTCTGTCTAGTTTGTTTTTGAAGTTATTTATTGAAGTAGCTTCTATTATTTCGGATGGTAAGCTGTTCCACGCATTTACAACTCGATTTTGGAAAAAATGATACCTGAAGGTATTTCTGCTAAAAGGCTTCCTCATTTTGAATTTGTGTTGTCGCAGACATGGACCCTCCTCCAATGCATTTCCACAATCGTTAGCAACCCAATTTATTTTATCGTGGCCATGCTGAATTTTATATTGTTGAATCAGATCTCCACGTAGTCTACATTCTTCCAGTGACGTTAATTGCATAATATTCAACCTAGCCTCATATGATAATTTCCTAATTGTAGGTGCTAGTTTGGTTGCTCTTTTTTGGATTTTCTCAATCTTGTCTATGTCTTGTTTTAAAAATGGAGACCATGCCTGGACCGCAAACTCAAGATGTGGACGTATGAACGTTGTATAGAGCATTTTTACCATGTTTACATCTAAATATTTAAAGCTTCTCTTTATGGTACCTAACATTCTGTTTGCTTTGCTGGTTGCTGAATCAACTTGTGAGTGCCATTTTAAATCGGATTGAACCATTATACCCAAATCACGTTCAGCTTTTGTGTTACACAATGTATAATTGTAATTGCAATCAATATCAGTCATTATAAATGTAGCATTTGGATTTTTTTTCCCAATATGCATAACTTTGCATTTTTCATAATTAAATTTTATGAGCCAAATAGATGACCATGCCATTATGTATATATATATATATATATATATATATATATATATATATATATATATATATATATATATATATATATATATATATATATATATGCTAATTAAATATAAATTTTGCACTATTTCTCAATTACCCTTTTTATTATAAACATTCATAAAATACCATTATGGTAAAATAAAAAAATATATATATATATATATATATATATATATATATAATATATATATATATATATATATATATATATATATATATATATATATATATATATATATATATATATATATACATAGTTTATATATGTATATATATAAATATATTTTTTTATTTTACCATAATGATATTTTATGAATGTTTTTAATAAAAAAGGTAATTGGGAAATAGTGCAAAATTTATATTTAATTAGCAAAAAACCTTAATGTTTTTGTCTTCAGTTTGCTTCATTAATTTACTATTAATTAACTATAAACAAATGAAGCGAGTTCTTTTAAATAAAAAGAATTAACAACTAGAAATATTAACATTTCTTTGTATAACTGAAAAATAACAAATAAAGCAAGTTTATCATTGTTTAGAAAAACTTTGTTTTGAAAACATCATGAAAATTTAAATTAAATAAAATAGTTTTTGTACTAAGGTTTTAGGAGTTAATCATAATCATAAAAATTATCATAAAATTAAAGCATGCAAAAAGTGACAAACATTTTTTTTAAATAGAAAATCAGTATCTAAAACACACACTGAGAAAAAAGTAAAAGTTGTGAAATAAATATTTATAAAAAAAACAAAGGAATTTTATAGAAGCACTTTATAATTGTTTGTGGAATTGATTTGGGTTACGAAATAATATCTTTATCAACAATGCCAAAGATATTATTTCATAAATAGCAACATTGCTCATGTCTTTTATTTTCATTCTTATCTTATGTTGTCAGTTTAAACAGAACATTGCTTAGAATGGTTGTGTGAAGTGTTTTTTTCTAAAAAAATATTGCAATACCTTGTGAAGATTATTTTGTGACAATATTTCATTAATTATAAAGGTATGTATATTTAAATACTCACATTTTTTAAATAAAAATATATAAAAAAAATTTTTTGTGGATAAGTTCACAATTTTATTAAATATTACCTTCTTTTTTTAGCAATGGTGAGGACATCTAATATTTTTCCCCGAAAAAAGATTTAATTTATGGATTATTAAAAAATACAAGAATGTCACAGTGTAAGATAGCTGAGACACTCAACATTGCTCAAAGCATAGTGAAGAGAGTGAAGCAAAAACTTGATTTTGAATTAAATCCAGGACTGACTGTCTTTGTCTTCAACAAAGAAAACTTTCAACTGATCAATTGATCAAGATTGTTAATGAAGAGGCTACATCGCTACATTTCCCAACAAACAGTCCAGAGACGTCTTAAAGGATTTGGTTTAACTTCACATTAACCAGCACAAATACTAAAATTAGTGCCCATTATGGTGAAGCAAAAATGTATAAAAACTTCACAGATGACTGGAAAAAATTATTGATTTTTCAAGTCATGAGTCAACGTTAAAGTATCCTACATGTCATGGTGTGATTTGTAATTAATTTTTAAGGTACTGGAAGGCTGCATATAGTAAATGGGACAAGACAAGATCAAGAGATAATTAGTGATGGACTAATAGCACAATGGTTCCCAAATATAAAAAAATACATTTTTATGTATGATGGGACATCATGTCACAAGGTGAGAACCATTACAAAGTTTTTAAAAGAAAAAAAGATTGATGTCTTTGATTATCCCAGAAATCATCTGGATTTAAATCTGATTGAGAATGTATGTAAACTGCTCAAGCAGGAAAATTTATCTGAAAAAGTTAGGTTTAGTGATGTGCTTCAACATAATTTATAATTGTTTTAACTAATTTTTCCAATGGAAAATTGCATTGTTTTTAAAGTTGAAAATTAATATGTTAAAATTGTTTTTCTTTTTAGTGATTTTGAGCTTAGCTACTTTACACTGTACTTTTAGAAATGATTTTATTAGTTAAACATCTGTCAGATGCTTATCTTTTAAATCATTAACTAAGTGGTCAGACATGAAAACCTTCAAATTAAAAGTCAACTTGACAAAATCAGTTAAAGGTAATTTAATTTTTAAATACTTAAGTTATAAAATCTCTAACATTTAAAGCTATTGCAAATAAGGAAAAATAATAAAATAACTTTTGTATCAAAATGTTCTTTGTACATTGTTATAATTCAAATTGTTTTATGTTGATAGTCAAGTCAAAATATTAAATGGAGGATAATTAGCGTACTTTTGATTTATTTAATTTTTTATGACTAAATTCAAAATACTGTTAAATATTCATATATATTGTTTTAAGACAATGCTATGATATTTAGTTAATAGCTAAAAAAATAGTATGTGAAAAACTTAGACCTACCTAAAGTCTTTTTACAATACGCCTCACTTCTTTTTTTTTTAATTTTTATTTTAATAAAG